CCCTCTTAACTGACTAGAGGTCAACAAATATTACTAATATTCAGTACAGCCCTTCTAATTGCTTGTCCAGATTCCATTCACCGTGGGTTGTGTTGTGATGTTCGGCTTTCGTGAACGTTGGTCCATTACTGTTGGTTGGTCCATTATCGTGTTTACAGATTATAATAGATAGACGGACACATATGTCTAGATCGACTCAGCTAGTCGAGATATGATCGGTATACTTAAAGGAGGGTCCACGACCAATATTTTGAACCACTTTCTACGTCGATTTATGCATGTCCGTCCGTCTGTCTGTCCACATTAAATTGTAAACTGGTCGCATTTATTATTTGAATTGGATAAAATGTGGTACAGCTCATTTATTTGGCCCAAAGACGAACTCAATTGAAATTGGGAAAAATCGGTTCAGATTTAGATATAGCTCCCATATATATTTTCGTCCAATTTAAGGTAAATGGGGGACCAAAGTCCCTAAATACCTTTCGATTTGCACGAAATTTGGCACAGCGTACTGAATAAGGCTTAGAATGATGTGTGCTATGTTTCGTGGAAATTGGTTCAGATTTAGATATAGCTACCATATATATTTTCGTCCGATTCTATACAAATAGTGCACGAAAGTCTTTAAATATCTTTAGATTTGCACGAAATTTGGCATAGCGTACTGAATTGGGTCTAGAATGATGTGCGTAAAATTTCTTCAGATTTTATATGTTCGACCGATTTAATGTAAATGTTTCGTCAAAGTCCTTATATATCTTCCGATTTGCACGAAATTTGGCATAGCGTACTGACTTGGGTCTAGAATGATATTGGTAAAGTTTCATGGTAATCGGTTCAGATTTAGATATAGCTCCCATATATATTTTCGTCCGATTCTATACAAATGGTGCACGAAAGTCTTTAAATATCTTTAGATTTGCACGAAATTTAGCATAGCGTACGGAATTGGGTCTAGAATGATATGAGTAAAGTTTCTTGAAAATCGGTTCAGATTTAGATATAGCTCTCATATATATTTATATATTTTTGTCCGATTTAAGGTAAATGGTGCACAAAAGTCCCTATATATCTTCCGATTTGCACGAAATTTGGCATAGCGTACTGAATTGAGACTAGAGCGATGTGTGTAAAGTTTCTTGAAAATCGGTTCAGATTTAGATATAGCTTCCATATATATGTTCGACCGATTTTATGTAAATGGTGTACCAAAGTCCCTATATATCTTCCGATTTGCACGAGTTTTGGCAAAGCGTACTGAATAGACACTAGAACGATGTGTGTCAAGTTTCTTTAAAATCGGTTCAGATTTAGATATAGCTCCCATACATATTTTCGTCCGATTTTATGTAAAAGGTGCACCAAAGTTCCTATATATCTTTCCATTTGGACGAAATTTGGCATAGCGTACTGAATTAAGTCTAGAATGATGAGTGGTGAGTTTCATGAAAATCGGTTCAGATTTAGATATCGCTTCCATATACTTTCGCCCGATTTAATTTTAATTTGACATAGCGTACTGAATTGAGTCTAGAATGATGTGTGTAAAGTTTCCTGAACATTTTCCGATTTTAAGGCCGATTGTGTCTTCCGATATTAAGTAGGACCCAAGGACCCAAAATATGTCCATAAGGACAAAATTTGCATAAATTAGTGACAGTGACAAGTTTCGTTGAAATCCGTTCATATTTGGCTATAGAATAGAATGACGTAATTGCGTGTAGAAGTACAGATGTAGCCCATATATATTTCCGACCGACTTCGTGTTAATTGGGCTCAATTTACATAATTGGGTCCCATTGTAACAAACAAATAACATGTTTATGGATTGATCTAAGTCGATTCACATTTAGATCCATTCTGTTAGAATGCATCTTTTTAATATACCCGTAGTGGTGGAGGGGAACCATTCGACTTTATTACTTTCCTTACTGGTTCTATTTTGAAGATCTTTTGTCTGTATTTAAAAAGGTAAAAATAATAGTATGTATTATGAAAATATTTCCATAACTAACTACCATCCAGTACATGCTAAACATGTTACCTACAAAAATATCGATGTTGAAATTTTTAACAATATAAATATCTCTTACAAGGCAGGTAAAATTCGTTGGACTTTAAATACATGCAACTGTCCTAAACACATTCTCAAAAACATATCTAAATGTCATACCAAATGTGTCAACTATGTGTGTGTGTGTGCGAGTGTACATTTGTATGTTGCATGAATGCAAACATAAAAGTCAATGTCGTTGCATAAATTCAATTCCATTGCTTAAATGACATTTATACACTTTAATTATTATACCGACATATTTTGCGACTTGAATTTTCCCCTCGTAGTTTTTTCGGGTTTTCATTGTTTTCGCCACTCCTTAGTCGACGTCGAGTGTCGTTTACTTTTGCTTTTGTTTTTGCCAACAGCTTATTTTCAACAAGCATTCATTGAGTGCTTCATTATGCATGCCATTGGCGGATAGCGGGGATTAATGTAAGGGACAGGTTTATAGTGACCATTTATAACATATACAAGATCCTCAATCTATAGAAGGCCCATTGAAGGTCTTCTATCTCGAAATATTCACCAGAGACCCCACAAAGTATACAAAAAACCAGTAAGGAAATTAGTAAAGTCGGACTGGGCCGACTATATGATACCCTTCACCACTTTGGGTATATTTTACATATGTATCCTAACAGACGACGCGTTTTGTTATAAATCTATATCTGAACCGATTTCAGGGAAACTTGCCAGAGACTAATTTATATATCATCAGTACGTTGTGGCAATCGGTCTAGCTATGGATCTTTTCACGAAGCTTAGCAACATCATTCTAGACTTAATTCAGTACCTATACCAAAATGCGTGCAAATCGATAGATATATAAGGTCTTTGGTGCACCAATTACCTTAAATTGGATGAAAATATATATGGGAGCTATATCTAAATCTGAATCAATTTTCACGAAACTTGGCAGACATCATTCTTGATTTTATTCATAACTCTGTGCCAAATTTCGTGCAGATCAAAAGATTTCCAGGGACTTTAGTGGACTATTTACCTAAAATCGGGTGAAGCTATATATGGGAGCTATATCTAAATCTGAACTGATTTTCACGAAACTTTGCACACATCATTCTATACTTAATTTAGTACGCTGTGCTAAATTTCGTGCAAATCGAAAGGTAAATAGGATCTTTGGTACACAATTAACCTTAAATCGGACGAAGATATATATATATATATATGGGAGCTATATCTAAATCTGAACCGATTTTCACGAAACTTTGCACACATCATTCTATACTTAATTTAGTACGCTGTGCTAAATTTCGTGCAAATCGAAAGGTAAATAGGAACTTTGGTACACAATTAACCTTAAATCGGACGAAGATATATATGGGAGCTATATCTAAATCTGAGCCGATTTTCACGAAACTTGGCAAACCTCATTCTAGACCTTATTCATTATGCTGTGCCAAATTTCGTGCAAGTCAAAAGATTTCCAGGGACTTCAATGGACTATTTACCTAAAATCGGGCGAAGCTATATGTGGAAGCGATATTTAAATCTGAACCGATTTTCTCAAAACTTTTCACACATCATTCTAGACTTAATTCAGTACACTATGCCAAAATTCGTGCAAATCAAAAGATTTCCAGGGACTTTATTGGAGTATTTACCTAAAATCGGGCGAAGCTATATATGGGAGCTATATCTAAATCTGAACCGATTTTTCCCAATTTCAATAAGGTTCGTCCTTGGGCCAAATAAGTGACCTATGCCAAATTTCATCCAATTCGTATCATAAATGCGACCTGTACTTTGTTTACAATTTAACATGGACAGACAGACGGGCGGACATGCATAAATCGACTTAGAAAGTGATTCTATGCATATTCTCAAAAGGAACCATGAGTCTATCTCGATTATTTTTGCCTGTTGCAAACATATGCACAAAGACATAATACCCTGTACCACAGTGTGGTACTATGATCAGAATAAAACTATATGTCGATTTATGTATGTCGGCCAATTATTTAATTATTCCTTTTTAAGGCCCTCTGATTTCGATCGCCCATTTTCCCTTTCCTCTGCCCACCTTTCCCATATCAAACAATATCTCTTTTGTTCGTCTGAACAAAATATGTTTCTGTGTTCCAAAGCTGCTGATGCTCTTTTCTAATGACACACAACGACAATGACACTTATATGCTGCCACTGCAACTTAGCATCGGATAGACAATGGTTAAAGGACCTAAATGCAACAACTGATACCACACATTTGGATAACTTGTCTGTTATGTTTGTATCTCTATGTGTGTTTGTGTGTGGTTGTACATTGTGTTCATTCAAGTACTTCTCTTTCTATATCTCTTAACATTTGTTTTTATGGCTAAGTCGAAAATACACTACAATGTATGTTTGTAAGAGTGTGTGTGAGAGTGCATCTGTTCGTTTGTCTGTAGCAGTGAAATGATGATATGAGATGATGATTGTTCTATTCTGTTCGCTAACATATTTTTGCAGTGTTTTTAAATGCTTGCATTCTATCCGAATATGAGATAATCCATTTATAATTTTTAGCTTTGATATGCGGATAAGGTTAAGGATGTCAGCATAAGTGCTCTTTGGATTAAAAAAAGTAAATTAGTTGTACGAATAGAATATATTCGATTAAATGTGGGAAGGTCCTTTAGTTGTAGAAAGCCTATAGAAGGTCTTTGTCTAGAAAAACTTATATAATCTCAACGTGTACCTTTTCCGACAGATGATATTCAAGTATTGTAAATATAGAATGCGAGAACATAGTTTTCCTTTTTTCCTTCTTGTTTCCTTTTTTTCGTATCTTACGTTTAGCCGCCCCAAAGGCTTGGATGTTGGACAAATTTGGAGGTGTATACGCTCCCCGTCCATCCACCGGTCCCCACAAATTGCGCGAATCATTGCCTTTGATGATCTTCTTGAGAAATCGTCTAAAGTATGCCTTGTATGTATGCCGGATCGTTATCACTATCCTTTGATCAAGGCCAACGATACCGTTCAAGTTGATATTGCCACCGGATTGCCCCCGGACTACATCAAATTCGATTCCGGTAACTTGTGCATGATCACTAGAGGTAGAAATTTGGGTCTTGTCGGTACCGTTGTCAACCGTGAAAGACATCCTGTTTCCTTTGATATTGTGCACATTAAGGACACTCAAGGCCATGTTTTCGCTACCCGTTTGACCAATGTTTTCATCATTGGCAAGGGTAACAAGCCCTACATCAGCTTGCCTAAGGGAAAGGGTGTTAAATTGAGCATTGCTGAAAAATAAAAAATACCATTAAAAACAAACAAAAAATTAAAAAAGAAGATCTATCGGAAATATTCTGACTGAAAACCTCTTATAGAAAGTCCTCTATTCACAGAAGACATTTCTAAATGAATTTTCCAGAGGGAGAGAAAAAATATGCCCTTAAATTTTGTCATTGTAACCCAGCGAACATTTTTCACATGTCAATAATTTAATGTACTAAATATTGTTAAGGAAAATATTATAAAAGAAAAATATATTTTTAAAATATCTCTACCTTGGTTAAGAACCTGAAAAAACCTCTTTAGAAATCCATGCTTTGGGTAAGACCCTGAAAAAAATCTTTTTACAAATACATGCCTTGGGTAAGACCCTGAAAGGACCTCTCGGAGCCCTTTAATACCGAACGAGGATTTAGACAATGTGACAGTTTGTTGTGTGGTCTTTTTAACATTCTGCTGGAAAAGGTCATTCGAGACGCAAAGGTGAACAGAAATTGCACTATGTACACCAAACAACACATGTTATTCGCCTACACCGATGACATCGATATAATGGGTCGAACATTTTGAGCGCTAACAGCCAACAAATTGAGGAGTCTGACAGTAAACGGCGAGAAGACCAAGCTGATGGTATTAACGCGCAAGACGTCCAGTAGACTCAGACCAACTGTGGAACTTGAGAACTACAGCTTCGAGGTAGTTAAAGATTTTATATACTTTGGTACCGCCATAAATAAAACGAATGACATCAGTTTTGAAATTCGAAGAAGGATTGTGATGGCCAATAGATGCAACTATGGTCTAAGTAAGCAGTTTAGAAACAAGGTCACCTACCGCCAGAATAACACTTTACAGGACAAGACGCTGATACTACCCGTGCTGTTATATGTATCTGAAGCATGAGTACATACATAAGCAGATGAGCAGCTCTTGGGGTGTTTAAAAGAAAAATTCTCCGAAAGATCTACCAGCCGATATGCGTCGACGGTGAATATCGGTGTCGAATGAACCACGAGCTTTACAATATATAAGCGGACATCGACATCAGTCGGTCGTATTGAGCTGCAGTGACTACGGTGGCTAGGCCATGTTGTGCGAAGGAATGAGAATGTGCCAGCATGTAAAAGCGAGCCTACTGATGGTTCCCGTAGAAGGGGAAGGTCACGAATTAGATGGAAAGACCAAGTATAAAACAACATCTTGAACCGTGGTCTTTCAAATTGGTGGAGATGCGCACAAGACCGACGCGCTTAGAAATCCTTTCTAAGCTCGGCTTATGAAACAACCGTTCCGTAACAAGCCAGCTAAATAAGTAAGTAAGGGCAAGACCCTGAAAAAAACTTGGGTAAGACCAGAAAAAATCTTTAGAAATCTATGCCTTGGTAGGACCTTGAAAAAATTTTTAGAAATCTATTCCTTGGGTAAGACCCTGCAAAAAGCTTTTTAGAAATTCATGCCTTGAAATCCATATACTTGGTGAACATTTCCGATACAGATCCATGTTTAGGTAAATAGTACCATATAAAGTCCCAGCCTCATTTTTTTATTTTTACGGTCATAGACGAGTGCCTGTAATGTATATAGGAACTTTGTTGGAAGAAATTTTCAAATTTCAGGAAACTTAACACACATCATTCTAGACCTAATTCATTACGATATGCCAAATTTCGTGCAAATCCAAAGATATATAGGGACTTTGGTACACCATTCACATTAAATCGGACGAAAATATCTAAAGCTATATCTAAATCTGAACCGATTTTCACGCAACTTAACACACATCATTCTAGACCTAATTCAGTACACTATACCAAATTTCGTACAAATCGAAAGATATATAGGGTATTTGGTGGACCATTTATATTAAATCGGACGAAAATACATATGGGAGCTTATCTAAATCTGGACCGATTTTCAGGAAACTTAACACACATCTTTCTAGATCTAATTCAGTACCCTGTGCCAAATTTCGTACAAATCGAATGATATATGTGGACTTTGGTGCACCATTTACCTTAAATCGGACAAAACTATACGAATTTTGACATAGCGTATTGAATTAAGTCTAGAATGACTTGTGCCAAGTTACGTGAAAATCGGTTCAGATTTAGATATAGCTCCCATATATAGTAACGCCCGATTTTAGGTAAATGGTGTAACAAAGTCCATATATACCTTTCGATTTGCACGAAATTTGGTATAGCCTACTGAAGTAGGCCTAGAATGATGTGTGCTAAGTTTCTTGAAAATCGGTTCAGATTTTGATATAGCGCCCATATGTAGGTTCGTCCGCTTTAAGGTAAATGGTGTACCAAAGTCCCTATATATCTTTCGATTTGCACGAAATTTGGTATTGCGTACGGAATTAGATCTAAAATGACGTGTGCAAAGTTTCGTGAAAATCGGTTCATATTTAGATATTGCTTCCATATATAGTTTCGCCCGATTTTAGGTAAATGGTGCACCAAAGTCCCTGCAAATCTTTTGATTAGCAAGAATATTGGCATAGCGTACTAAATTAAGTCTAGAATGACGTGATGGTTTTAAGCAAATTGTACACTAAAGATCCATACCATAGTTCGATTGACTATGGCATGGATCTCTGGCAGGTTTGCTTGAAATCGGTTCAGATATAGATATAACTTAGCTTCCATATATAATTTCGACTTATTTATGTTAATTGTACGCCAAATATTTAATGTGTGTCTGATTGAGATTAAATTTTAAACAGTACAGCGACGTCTTTTCGGATACATATGTTAAATATACCCAAAGTGGTGAAGGGTATCATATATTCGGCCCAGTCCGACTTTACTACTTTCCTTACTGGTTTCCAATTTCAATAGGGTTCGTTCGTGGGCCAAATAAGTGGGCTGTGCCAAATTTCATCCAAATCGGATAATAAATGCGACCTGTACTTTGTTTACAATTTAACGTGGACAGACAGACAGACAGACGGACATGCATAAGTTTAAAAAGTGATTCTATGCATATTCTCAAAAGGAACCATGTGTCTATCTCGTTTCCTTTTGCCTGTTACAAACATATGCACAAAGACATAATACCCTGTACCACAGTGTGGTGAAGGGTATAATTATCAATATGTGTCCATATTTTGGCATAGGCCCCATATAAAGGTCTTGCCACATGTTCAGTATTTTGCCGCATTTTTCCAACAAAGAGGCTACAATTTGGCATACTGAGTTCTTAGAGAATACAAAGCATTTTTCCAGAAAATGTTTTGAAATAACCTCACTGAAGTGGCTGTTATTTGGCATTTCGGATGCTTGAAGGGCGGAGAAATATATTTTCAATAAATTTTTGATAGAAATTTTTTTTGTTTCCTAGAAATTTTTCAATTAGGACCATAGCTCCGTGTCTAAATTCCAGTACCAATCTTGGCGTCTGTAATTTCGTATTTCACTTTCTCAGGGCATAAACCATTTCCAATGACATAGTTCCCTTATGAAGGTCCCAAACTATTTGAGAAATTAAAAAAAAAAATTATTCAACTATCAACCCTGCCAAACTTAACGACATTTTTACGTGTTTTCAAATTCCTCAATGACCCACATATCCTCTGCTGTATCGCCCATTTTTAAAACTCCGCTTAGTATTGGAAAATCTCGTTATTCGATGACCGATTTAAATTTTTGTACAAAACTAAACGATTCAATGATACTCTGTTGCATTTCCCCAGCACATTTAGTGGCAGTTTGTCAACCGACTCCCCTCCCCATCTCACGCTGCTGCCATTTATGGTTAGACGGTTGAATGGCACTTGAGCTTGTTGGCCAAAAAAAAAGCCACCACCTCTGCGGCTATTCCACAGGAAATATGCAATGACATTTAGATTTTTATCTAATATCTGGCAGCATTATTCAGTTGCATTCATTTAGCGGGCCAGGCCATATTCATAGATGTGGCTATTATGGCCCATTACCATTTTGCACTTTAAACAGAGAGAAAACCACACACACACACACACGGGTACAGGGAGTAATTGAGAAGGGGGAGAGGCTGGGGAGTGGAAAAGAGAAATGGTTATGATAATTGTTAAAGGCAATGTTTTTTTAGTTTTACTTCTTTTTCCGATTTGCTACAATAAATAGGTAATTGTTATGGGGCAATTTAGTAAAATCAAATTAAATTTTATTGGCCAATAAAGTTATGGCTAGGGAAATATAAAATACTTGCACTTATATTTCAAACCAAATTCTGGGGTTTTCAAAAAAAGTAATAAAAACAATGATTGAGTTTCAACTTTAATTAACATTTTGATTAAGGAACCGAAGACCACACAAAAATCAAAAGCCAATCCCCGAAAAATATAAGACTGCAAATAAAACTATTTTCTTATGGTGGCCAAGTTTTTCTTACAATACCAGTGGGTATTCAATTACATTCTCCACGTATGGTCGTCTATGTTGAACAAATAGAGAGCATCAAATATAAACGATGTTTGGATGGAAAAAAAATGAAACTTCCTTCCCTCCACCTCAGGTTGAAAATAAATAAGAAACTTTAATTAAGTTCCGGTCATGTTATTTACCCCCCTTTGACTAAATAAATGTGGAGGATGTGTGAAACTATTTCATTGCAAGCTATTAAAAACATGAGAAGGGGAAGGGTAGGAGGTGCGTGACCATATATTTAGGTTCGAAAATAAACTGGAAGAGTTTATATCTCAAATTCAAGTAAATAACATTGAGCAGAAAAATAATGACCAATTGTTTTTGGTTGGCAATTATTTTAGTCTTCTCGATTTCAGCTATTGGATGTGCAGAAAACTAAAGTTGAAATTTAACGTCAATTTCAAGAAAATAATATAGATATGGTCAGAAAAAGATCTGGTGGCAGAACTTTTATAGGTCTTGTTTGTAAAATGCATCGAAAAACCATAGAAATACAAAATTCTTGGATATATGCCAACACGGACTACAAACCGATATAAAAAAGCCGAATTAAAAATGTCCAAACGCATGAGAAGCTCTGCAAAACACCACAAAGCAAGAATTG